ATAATTTTAATACATTGTATATTTTTATAATTTAAAAGTTAATATTTTTGACATACCATCTCGGGAATTATGCTCTCGTTATGGATAATAATGTCCTTCATGAACCTCATGACGCAATAGCCACAATCCAAGTTATTTTTCTTTTGCCTTGGACACTAAAAATTAAAGAATATATAAATATGTATTAATGTATTAAATTTTAATTTAATAAATGATTTCATTACTTTAATTATATTCCAAGTGTAGGCCGCATCAAAATTTGTAAAGGACCTTGAAATTGATTGTTTTGTGTTAGTGCAGTATAACACAATCGCCCTAATGAAACAATAAAAAATATGTTAGTATGACATTTAAATAATTAAATAAATATGTAAAATACTTTATATATGCACTTACATATTAATCAACTCTAATAAAATTTGTCTCCTCCCTGGTTCCCCTTTAAGAGAATCGAGATAATATATTTTTGGAGTGTTGCCGAATGGTTCGGCGGTGATCAACATCCAATGGTCCCTAATAGTATTAACAAGTGTGGCAAAATTATAATTAATCCATTAAATTAAAAATAAAAAATTTATTAAGATAAGTGAGAATTTCGTTACCCTTGACAGTACGGTATTATGAATAATGTTCCCTTTCGAGCCCTTGCTTTAAAATTTTCGCTTAATGCCTTTGCTTGTTCTAAAATTTTGTCGCTTTTAATTAAGGCATGTGCACCCACTTCATGAGGACTAACAATGACGAACTTCGTTTGCAGATTGAAAGGGCAAAACATGAGGAGATATTTAAGCAACAAAAATCAACCAATAAAATAATCTATAATCTCAAACAAATCAATTCCATAATCTAGAAATCTAAGCATATCGGAAGAAAATGAAGGAAAAACCATAGAAATCACAAACCCATGTACCTTAGAGAAGAGAAGATGAAACACAAAGAGAAAGCTAATAAGAGAGGAATCGGACGGTGTAGGAGGAGTACTTTCACGTTGGCGAGGGACTACGGTGGTCAACAGCAAGAATGAAGGCTGATTGTGAGATTTCTATCGATTTCTTGTAGAAGAGGAGAAGAGAGAAAACATGAACGACGAATGGGCGGGAATGAAAAAATAAACCTGAAAACAAAAATAAAAAGGAAATAAATGACGGGTATTTATATAGCCGTCATTTATTCCATAATATATGACGGGTCCATCATATATAAGGAAGGCTTTAAATGACGGTTGTTTTAAACAACCATCATTTAAAGCCTAACGTTTTTTTATTTTTTTTAAATGAAGAAAATCAAACGTTGGCCACGAATATATGACGGGTGTTTGAAAACTCCATCATATATAGTTCAGGACTTTAAATGACGGGTGTTTAAAACAACCGTCATTTAAAGTCCTGAACTATATATGATGGGGTTTTCAAATACCCATCATATATTCGTGGCCAACGTTTGATTTTCCTCATTTAAAAAAAATAAAAAAAAACTTTAGGCTTTAAATGACGGTTGTTTAAAACAACCGTCATTTAAAGCTTTCCTTATATGTGACGGGTGTTAAAACCCGTCATTTAAAGTTTTAAAACTTTTTAACTTTTTATTTTAAGAATCTGAAACGGCGAGTACAAATATATGATGATTTTTTCTATAACTGTCATATATTGTTTAAACTTTATACGACGGGTTTTTAAAATACCCGTCATTTAAAGTTTAAATTTAGTTTTTATTTTTTTTCTTCTAGTAAATGAAATGTTTGGCTAAAATAAATGACAGGATTTTTTAATACCCGTCATTTAAAGTCTTGTAATATATGACGGTTTTTTTAAGGCCCGTCATTTATTTGATCACCATCACCTGCCTATCTCATATATGACATGTTTTTATTTGACCGTCATTTTTTATGGCGTCTTATATTTACGTATTTGTAGTAGTGGTTGTTGTTATCGTTATTATATACACACACTTTCTCTGATCGAATAATACGTTATAGTTGTAACGTATTATTGTTAGCCAATTTCTCCTTCCCCATTCAGTTTCTGCTGAGTGCTGAAAGCAATTTATTTTGGTTATTGCATATTTTGATCAAGTTTCATGTTCTCATTTCCACATAAAATTTGCATATGAGCTTTTTTTTTTTTTTTTAACCTGCAGACATCGATCATTTGCGATGTTTACTTCTCCATTCCCAACCAGCATTCACAAGACAAGTAATCCCCGAATTCTACGGAAGCGATGCTTCACATTCACCTTTAACTTTTTTTCCTTAAAAAGAGAGGAAAAAAAAAAAAGGAAAGCAATAAATTGAATGAATGATATATATATATATATATATATATTAGTAATTGAACGGAAAAATTTAATTTTGACTGAGGACCTAGGGTCTGCAGTGAGATTTTAAAATTGTTTGGGCCATTCATGCTAATAAATTTCTTATGTATGCGGGTCATGATTCATGAATGAGGTTCTCTCAACTTTATGTCTAATATCTCCTCCTTTGGAAGGTCTAGATAAACATTCTTTGTTTTTGTGGTGGAGATGAGGAGCGAAGGAAATTCAATTTCCATTTTTATTCTAGTAGAAGGGTTAAAAAATATATAATATGACCTCCCTTCTATTTTATTATAATTATAGAGACTTCTATTTTGTTTTCAAAATATACACTTTAGTTCAAATTTAATATTCTGTTAAATATTTTAAAATGTTTAATTTTTTCCTTGTAATTATGTTAAAAAATTATAATTACTATTTTTTTATAATCAAATTTTATATTCTTTCTCTTCAAATTTAACTAATTCATCTATAATTATATTAAATACTTATTTCATTAAGTTTTTTTTACATATGTTTTTGTTAGCCAACTTATGTATTCATTTTAAAAAAAGTTAATAAATAAATAATTTTACATAACTAAAAATAAAATATCAATAAAAAATTATATATATATATATATATATATAGTTAAATTGTTTTTAAGTAACATTAATGTTTAAAGAGAAGTGCTTTGATCTAACAAATATGATTTAATGGTCAACTAACAATTTATGTAGTTGAAAATTAAATCTTTAAAATATAAGGGAGGTTTGTATTTTGTGATTATTGATTGTATAGAAAGTTTGCATAGGTTTTTGAAATATAAGAGATGTACACATAATTAAGGTAAAATCGAAGGGAGGTTTGTGTATGAAAACATTGACTCAATGTATGATTTATATTCTATGAGTTTATCAATGTATGACCTCCAAATCATTAGTTGAAACCTAAAATTGGAGCACCTATTATGCTTTTGAAAAATATTGATAAATTTCTTGTCTCTATAATGAGACATGTCTAATCATTACTTAGACAAGAAAGCATATTCTAGAAGCACAAATAATTTTAAAATCAAATGTTAGGATAAAGGTCTATATTTTAAAGATTGATATGTCACCTTATAACTTTTCACTGTCATTCACTCTTCCCAGAAGACAATTTTCAATTATATTGCCCTTTGTTATAGCAATAAACAAGAGCCAGGGTCAGAGCTTGCTTAGCATTGAGTTGTATTTACTAAGACTTTTCTTTACACATGACCAATTATATGTTGTTATATACTTCCTCCATTAAAAAATGTAAGACATTTTTAATCGAATCTCACATCCAATAAAGTAGTTACCTACTTTTTAACTAATCTTATTTTTTTATATTTACCCTTATCAAACACCCTATAATAAATATAAAATCATTATCAATAGGGGTACTTTTGAAAAAAAGAAAATAATTACACCTTCAAAGATTATAAATACCTTGCATTTTTTTACATCCAACTCTTTAAAAAATATCTTATATTTTTAAATGAAAAGAATATATCTCGAGTGTGAAATAGGAAATAGTTAAAGATAATAATTCTTGATGTAGATGGTGAGCCAATGTTAACTTCAAACGTACTCCTCTAGTCCTATTTATAAAACAAAAGGAGAATATTTGATTTGATCCTATTTGTAAGCATTTCAATGATTATTATGTTCATTTTTATAATTTTACCCCTGTTAAATGTAGAGTAATTTATTTTAAAGTACCTATATTTAATAGAGATAAAATTAAAAACTTATTAAATTTTTAGATAGAATTAATGAGGTTTAAGGTTTTTTTTAATTCTAATGAAAATGTTAGAAGTGACTTATAAATTAGAACTAGAGAGAATAATGATGTAGAGAGATGTTTAGCAATCTAACATATGTATGACAGCTTTCCATCCATTGAGATGGTGTACTTTTTTTTTTTTTTTTACTCTTTGACTCTTTATATGGTGTAACAAATGGTTGTATTCATCCACAATATGTTTATAAATTATCTTCTTTATTTATTACAACACATTGTTGGATCCATCATTAGATAGGTATTTAAAATTTATCTATCATATCATCACCATAATTTTTTACGCTATCATTTTTAAATAGTAATCATTAATCATTTATTGGATAGTTATATCTTATTATTGTTTTAGGCATTAAAGTACGTAATATGTACAAATTGGTGCCATTTAATAATTAGAAGAAGTTGTAAAAATAACATCAATGCACAAGTGAATAACTAGTTTTACTAAAAAGATTCTTAAAATTTTGGTGGTAACTTAACAAAATGTTGACAAACTTTGATACATTTTTTTTACTGGAATTGGAATACGTATCACCTGAGAGATTTATCTATCAATTGCCTTCACTTTGAGCACGATGAGCGATTTGCACATGCGGTAAACTGGGGTGACATTGTGCCACTTGCCACTCATGCGCGTGCGTCCATTACGTTATATCGCCTCCAAGATGACGCAAGCACCACGAAAGCGAGAGTATTCATAATCACAGCTCATAAGCCTTAAGATCGAAGCACGTGCAAGAATGGCCTATCTCCGAGAGTGGGAATCATACAGGTTGTCCTCTCAAGTACTCGAAAGTAGAAGCCTCCATGTTACCTCTAGAGTTTAATTGGAGACCAACCGATTCCAATTGCTATATATAACGTAACCCATGAATTATGGTACATCTTTACATAGAACTTGCAGGAAAAACCGTTACACCATCACCATATTCACTATCTTCTTCTCTCATGGTCACCGGCGGCGCCACCTCTGTAACCGGCGCCTCCACACCCTGCCTTTCGTGCTAGAACGCAGATGCATACACAATCCCAAACATGTCAAACACAAAAAAATCCTGTCCAGAATTCGAACTTTCCTTGAATGTATAATGTTATTTTGCACCTTTCTGTATCTCCAAGCCCGTTGATAGAATAATCTAGAACTAAAAGCAAACAAAAACTCATCGATCTCATTATCGTTTTCCATTCAAAACTTCGTCCCCAAGACTGTATGTCATTTTGTTTGGCATCAACTTTCTACGAATCCCAGATTGGGGGGTGATTTGATCCATCAAGTTTAAGGTTAAAAGGAGGTGATTGGGTCCGCTGAGAAGATGTCGAGCTTCGTCAAGGACATCCTGGCGAGCCCGATACAGATGGCGGACCAGCTGATCAAGATGGCCGACGAAGCCCAAACATTCAGAATAGAATGTTTAGAGCTCAAGGCCAAAACGGAGAAACTCGTTGCCTTACTCCGGCAGGCCGCGAGGGCCAGCAATGACCTCTACGATCGGCCAACGCGGCGCATCATCGACGACACCGAGCAAGTCCTCGAGAAGGCCTTGGGACTGGTCGACAAATGTTGCGGAAACGGCCTCATGAAACGACTCTTCACCATCATACCCGCGACAGCATTTCGCAAGACGTCGATGCAGCTCGAAAATTCCCTCGGAGACGTGCAATGGCTCCTTCGTGTATCTACTTCAGCCAACGAACGCGAAGACGCGTGTCTGGGTCTACCACCAATCGCAGCCAACGAGCCCATCTTGTGTCTAATCTGGGAACAGGTAGCAGGGTTGCTCACAGGGTGTTCCATAGAAGACCGCTCGGACAATGCCGCTTCCTTGGTCTCTTTAGCTCAAGACAACGACCGGTACGCTAACCCTTTTTTTTTTTTTTTTGAAAAAAAGAAATTTATCATTATCATCGAAAGTACATTCTCATATATATGGTGCCTATTTAAAATCTTCAGTTGTTATGTGTTACACAAGTATTGCAACTGAAATGTTTTTCTCATTATTATAGGTATGGCAAATTGATTATTGAGGAGGGTGGTGTTCCTCCACTTTTGAAATTGTTGAAAGAAGGGCATTTAGAGGGTCAGCAAAATGCAGCAAGAGCGATAGGGTTACTTGGGAAGGACCCAGAAAGCGTGGAACAGATTGTGAATGCTGGGGTCTGCACCGTGTTTGCAAAAATCCTCAAAGAAGGTGACATGAGGGTTCAGTCGGTGGTGGCTTGGGCTATCTCGGAATTAGCATATCATCACCCGAAGTGTCAGGATCACTTTGCTCAGAACAATTGCATACGCTTGCTTGTAAGGCATCTTGCCTTCGAGACCATCCAGGAACACAGTAAGTACGCCATTGTCAGTAAACAAAACATGTCATCCATTCATTCAATCGTGTTGGCCAGTAACGCTCAGAATGATCATGACAAGAAAACGATGCATGAAGATGAAGATCATAAGCATCAAGTCGCTCACCCTATAGAGAACCAATCATCGAGCCAAATGCACCACATAGTTACCAACACAATGGCCATGAAACAGCAAGCCCGAAGCAATGCAAAGCACGGGCACGCACATGTTTCGATTGCAGGAACGAGTTTGAAAGGGAGGGAGGCTGTAGATCCAGCTACAAAGGCCCAAATGAAGGCCATGGCGGCTAAAGCGCTGTGGCAACTCTCCAGGGGAAACATAACTGTTTGTCGCAGCATCACTGAATCAAGGGCTCTTTTATGTTTTGCTGTTCTGTTGGAGAAGGGACCTGAAGATGTTAAATCCTTTTCAGCTTTTGCTTTAATGGAGATCACGGCTGTGGCAGAGCAGCAGGCGGAGTTGAGGCGTTCTGCTTTCAAACCCAATTCCCCTGCTGCAAAAGCCGTGGTGGATCAGCTTCTTAGGATCATTGAGAAAGCAGATTGTGATCTTCTGATACCCTGTATCAGATCAATAGGTCACTTGGCGAGGACCTTTAGAGCTACAGAAACGAGAATGATAGCACCGTTAGTGAGGCTACTTGATGAAAGAGAAGCTGAGGTTTTAATGGAAGCCACAATTGCACTTATCAAGTTTGCTTGCACTGATAACTTTCTGCATGAGACTCACTGCTCAGCCATAATAGCAGCAGGAGGAGCAAAGCACTTAATCCAACTTGTTTACTTCGGGGAGCAAGCGATCCAAATTCCCGCACTGAAACTTTTGTGCTATGTGGCGATGCACGTGCCCAAAAGTGAGACGCTTGCCCAAGAAGACGTCCTCATAGTTCTGGAGTGGAGCACGAAGCAGGCGCAATTGATGCAAGTACCCACAATTGAAGAGCTATTACCTGAAGCCAAGAGCAGGTTGGAACTATATCAGTCAAGAGGCACGAGAGGATTCCATTGATTTTTCTACCCTATTTAAACTCTCGAACAGACCAAAGTTTTTTGGGGTTTCCTTTTTCTACTTATTCTCTAAAAGCCTTCGATTAAAACTCAAAGTGTATATAAAACTTAGCAAATGGTTTGGGTGATCACCCTTCTGTGAATTAATTTAGGAGAAGATCTCAGCTTGTTACACTTCTTACGTTTCTTATCGCCTTGCTCTAGCCGCATGATTCATCGTTGTAAAGCGTTCAATTCAAAGCTAACAATGGTCTCGGGCCTTTTTCATACAGTGGGTCTATTTCCCAAGTTCTCATTCAGGCCTATGAGTTGCATACTCACTTAGCTTCAGTCATATCTCCTTTTTTGGTTTGAGGTTTAGATTCCATTAATGGTCAGGTGTGGAGATCATGGGCGAACAAAAGGAGAAACCAGAGTTCTTTCGATCTATGGACGGATATTCGTCCTGTTTCGTTTGTGGGTCAAAGTGGCATCAGTTTGAAGCATCACCTGGTTCAGAAAAATGGTCGTTCCCTTTGTCTGCGTGATGATGGGCTCAGCCACTTTAAGGTGGGCTTCGTACTGACTTACAAAACATATGCAGGCTTGATCGGTTGTTCCTCCATGTCTCCTTGGGCCCTTGCCCTGCGCACAAGCTCTCGCACACTTGCAATTGAACAAGCAAGTGAATAGAAAAAAAGAGATGCTTTTTTTGTTCTGAATTGATCTGAACAACTGTAGCTTTGTGTCGGCCAAAAAAAAAGTGAGAGGAAAAGTATCAACGGAAGGGGGTGAGGAGATAATATGCTGAAGATGTGGACCACGAAAATGAGATATAAGAGGAATGGGGATAAGAGAAGCTGCAAGATACAGAGTCAATTTTACGAGAAGTAACCTTCTTCCTTCCCAACTTGATTCCCAAACACTACCAAGGTGGGAATGCCATCACATGGAGCATTGCGCATCCTCAAATTATAGCGACGTTCCCATCAAAGTATGTTTCCGTGTCCTAAAACAGTGACAGCCAAGACCCAAGAATAATGAACAACAAACACAAGGGACAAACATATTTCTTCTAATACTTTCAGGGGACTTAACTGGATGATTTAGAACTATGATTTTGTTAATTATGCAGAAAAAGCAAGGGCGGAGCATGCCTGCAAAAAAGCGGAGAGGGCATCGACTTGTTTGTCTCGGGAATAAAGCAGAGAAATGGATTGGTTTGGTTGTAGAGAAGAAGGGGCTTTAATTCAACTGAAAAGTATCTTCTGGCGTTGCTATATTCTTTGCCTTTTTAGCCCTGTTCCTTTTGTGAAAAGCATTCACATAACAGAACACTTCACACGAAAGGTCTCTTTTGATACTCACTCACTTTCTCATTCACTGCCAGGTGTTCATTACGTACACTCACCCTTTCTAGGAAGCTAGATTATCATTAGATTCCCACTCAACTCTCTTCATACGTCAACACCCTTCTTCTTTCCCTAATATTTATGCCATTCATTCACTTCAGCAACAGTTTGGAGAAAAAAATAAACCAGAAAAGGAGACCTTTTTGAGAATAACTCTTAGGTCTCTTCTCCATTTATTTGTTTAAACTTTAGATTGGGGCGGTGCAAAAATTCTTTTACCTGTCCGGTTTGATTTAACCCAAAAAAATAAAGATTAATCTGAATAAAAATTGATCTTTTAAGATTAAAAGTATTAAAAAGATTAAATTTTTTTTTTCGAATTGGATAAAAGATCGAATATTCAGACTATTTGATCTAATTCAATCCTATAAATTTATTTAATATTATTATAATTAATTTATTCATTATTATTACAATAAATTAATTTATAATAATAATTAATAATTTTTGTATTTTATATTTGTGAATTCATGAATATTGAGCCAAATTCTTGCATTGACCAATCTAGATCTTCTTTTTTTGTTGGTGAAATATATTATTAACTTGGTGTAATAGGCTTTAAATATGTTGAAGGGTATTTAATTTGAATCTTTTTTATTATAACTGAAATATTTTTTTTTGTTATTGAAGATTGTTATAAATTTATAATTGTTATTGTGATAAATTTTACATAACTATAAATAATTTTATTATATTAAAATAAATTTTTGCCTATCAAATAAAAAGAAAAAAAATATAAATTGGACAAAACTAAAATCATTCACTTAATTCTACTAAATCAATTCAATCCTATTCACCTTCTGATTATATCAAGAGCAGATTAAATTATGAATTGTTTAAATTAATCTTTTTTATAAAAAGTATCGGACTTTGAGTTAAATAGAAATCCTGTCGGGTTGTGCAGCCCTTCAGATTATGCAATTGACCTGGCAGAATCCAGCCTTGGCGGTGTGTGGGTTAGAGAAATGAGGTGCCTTCTCCTGGTGGTTATAAAATACTATCAGACACACGCATGCATATCCAAAAGTACAAGCACCTCATTAATTAATCCTCAAACACACTTTTTTGACCTGATCCCTCAAACACTTGAATTAATAACAGTCATTAAAAAAAAAAAAAAGATGCCTCCTTTATTGTCAGCTGCCTGATTATCATTTTTTTAAAAATATGGTCTATACCTATGTTGCCAAAAAAAAAAAAATTCTATAGCTATCATCTTCAGCAATAACGCCAAACTCTCTGCCCTCTGCTTTTATTTGTTTTTCCCGGACTCGAGTGCCAGTCAGCAAGACCATTGACTTTTCAACGTTTATATTCGGTGCCATTGCTCTGGGCCAATTATGAATATAATCCTATACATTAATGGCAATTTTCAAGAAAAAATATTTATTTCTTATTACCGCCGTGGTTCTCAACATGTATCGCACAAGGATCCTGCAATGAAGAACTATGGAACAAAACTTGTTACAATAGATAATTTAAAAGGATCCGGCACATATTTTGCTTTCCAAATAACTTTCATGTCTATGATTACCGATCACAAACAAACTCAAATTTGTTTACAGAATCTTTATAAAAATCTTGAAGAAGCAACGCGGAAGTTTCAAACTTGTAATCTTGTTTTTCTGAGTCATTTTTCGAAGTCACGTCATCCTCATCACAAGGTTCTTGTTAACTAATGAAATCTAGTATTACAAAGACAAGAGTTGAAGGTTACAAAGTTTATGAACGCAACAGAGGGATCATGTCATCAATATCGGTGAAAATATAATATCAGAAGCTCTGGCACAGCCTTCCCGGTAACCATGATGCCGATTAGATGAAGGGCGGCATGATCAGTGGTGGTGATGAGGCGAAGGGGCGGCGGCGGCAGCGGAGGCTGTGGCGTTGAGAAGAGAGGGAGGAAGAGGAGGAGGAGGGCACTGGTAGCACTTGGTGAAGAGGCCGAAGGAATCAATCTGGCGAATGAAGTTAACCATGCTGGCCCACCCTCCGAATCCGAACCCGACAACCATCACCCATATCACCACGAACACGTTGATGATGTACGAGCCCACCCATCTCCCCAGGTACTTGGGCGGTTGCTCCACCGCATTCTGCAAATCGTAAAATCGTTTGTATTGAGTCGAGTATTGCAATGCAAGAAATTACGAAAGAAAGGAGAAAGGTGATTTACCCGACGAGCGGTGGGAGAGCGGAAGGTAAAGATGTGAGCAAGAGCCGGGATTATGTACACCGTGAAGCTGACAAGCAGCGATCCCACCGTGGAATTGATCGGACCGAAGAACGGGAATATGATCGCCAAGAACCAGATCGGGATGACCACTGGCAACCTCGACGCCGCGCGCTTGCACAGGCTCTTACACGAGTGAAGCCCTATGAGCTTCTCCCACACCAGGTACAGGGGCGTGCAAGCGAAACCGAAGGTGATGAACTGGTGGATCAGCATCAGCACCACCGCTATGTCCCTGAACGCCGACCTGGGCAGCAGCGAGAACGCGTTCGAGTGGTTCAGCAGCATGTCCCCGAACGCCCAATACACCGCAGCCGCCGACGGCAGCGTCAGCGTCAGTACGTACGCCGTCGCCAACAGGTATATCCCCTTGAACTTCTCCGGCCTCCACATCGCGTGCATGATTTCTCTGCGTTAATTATTATTAAATTAAATCAAGAAAGTCTTTGTAATTCGAGCGTCACACTAAAATGAATACAATCAAATTAAAGATAAATTACAAAGAGATTAGTCTCACGGTCTGGAATTTAACCTATCTAATGTTTTGGTACACGCAAGACATTGACACACATCCATCAAGTAAGATTATCGAGTTTAAAAAGAATGGAAAGAAAGAGAGAAAAGGAAAGAGCATTTTTGGCTGAAAAGGAAAAGGAATGCAAAGTGAGACCTCAGAGTTTGGCTTTTTCCCACATATCTCTACAAACAGAGCATCTCAGGTTCACACTAAAAGAGGCACGTTTCCTGCCTCCCACGACAATCAAGGCTGTTCGGCCCCATAGTCCAATCAAATTTAAAAAATATGGTTCTAATTTAACGCTCAGATAAAAAAAAAAAAATGAACGCCAAGTATTGAGGCATCGCATCAGGGATATGTTCATGCTAGGCTATGCTGCATCTACAAGCACGCTAACCGGACAGGGAGATCTGAGCTCAGTCAAAGCATTTAAACAATGACACGAAAATGACTGCAGACGGGTCATCAGATCCCACGGTCAGACCATGTGGGACGCCGAGTCCAGGTTAGGTCCCTCTCGAAATGACATTATATTTACTACTGAGTCCCCCGTCGCCACCCTCACAGATCAAGGGCAGATTCGTCATCCCGAGTAAAAAGGACACGGAATTAGACATTTGAAAAGATTGTCTTACACAGTCACGGCATGCCCCCCGAATGTGTAGAGAATGTTTGTGGCCCCCGTAAAATAGAGAACCAGCTTGCTCGGCCCCGAATGCCTCACTCCCTCCACCTGTACGCCCATCCATTAGCAACCGTGCAGTAATATTCCTCACCTGACCGGTGAATTTAATTGAGTAAAAATGATGTCCATACCTGGCCATGCACAAGAGAGGCAATGGTGAGGTACCAGGCCGTGTAGGTGGTCATGAGGAGGCCCAAAAAGGACCAGATTCGGTAGTTGTGGAAGGAAGGGATGAACACTGTGGTGGCGCAGCAAGCCCCGAAGATGTAAGTCCAAGTCCTCTTGTCCAGATTGTCATTAATGTAGTATATGTTGCTGCACAATCATCACACACGGACACGCGCATGTGAGCTTTCGAATAAACTAACAGAGGATGAGGATGAGGGTGGACAGAGACAGAGATTAAAGTGGTCGGAGTAGGTAGGCGAAGACGACGCGCGTACCTGGCACAGGCAATGAGTTGGATGACAGATCCAAACAGAAGAAATGTGCAGTTAAACGCCAAACCCAGGTTTCTCCAGTGCTTCCCGAGAAGCCCGTCGAGAACTTCGAACCACTGTATCACGTGGTTTCTGAAATCTGCTTTCTCTCTTTCCTTCCTGGTTCTATACTCCACGTACAGGACGCTGATCAGGTACGCCGTCCAGCTTCCCATCAAGCTGTAGAACAGCTGGAAAAGTATCCCGGACAGCATTCCCAGCTGAGAAAATGAGTATGGCAGCGTGAGCAGAACTTGAGCCACCTGGTGAAATCAAAAACAAGCCCATCGATCAGAACAGATAACCAGAACGAGCTAGGGAAAGTGAAAAAGAACAAGAGTCGAGTAAAGGAACCTGGTTGGAAGCACAGCTAAACCAGGCATCGTAAACAGAGCCGCCGTGCCACAACAACTTGGATAACTTGGATTTCATGTCATTAGGCTTGCCTTCTGTTTCCATTTCCACGTAGTTTCCGATGATCACCGGCTCCATTTCCTTCTCCGATGCCATTCCGGCTTTCGTCTCCTGTAGCTTGCCTGTCTTGTTTTGGTTCTGGATAACAGTGTTAGGTGGGATTGGAGAGGAGAAGGATACAGACTGAGGAGTTCTGGTTACGGGGCGGGGGTATATATATATAGAGAGAGAGAGAGAGAGGGAGAGATGAGATGACACAGTAGGGTTCTCGAAGGCTGGGAAAGTCTGTGCGTGAGAGGGATTGTAGAGGGGGATTTTGGGAACTGGGAGATTAATAATCTTTTTTGGACGACTTAAAAAAATGAGCATATGATTAAATAAAAAACTTGCCCGCGGTGCTTTGACGAAATCCCCTGGTTTTCGAGCTCCTTTTTGCAATTAAAAATTTGTTATTTATTTTCTTTCGCCCCACATGAAATTCGAGAAAACAATACTCAAACAAAGAGCTTAATTAATTAAGTTAATTAGGTGTGACGATATTAATAATAGGTGGATACGTAGAGGGGCGTGATGGCTTCACCGCACGAGTGGGTCTCCCCGCTTCCCGAGCTGATGAACTAAATCATTGCTTCATTTTTTTATTCCTCCGCCTAATTTGTTCAAATTGCCATTTTCTTATGATTTTGGTCATTAATTTCTCACCATAGATTGATGCACTACCATTCACGGCTCCTTCACTTCTCTGCTTGTAATTTTCAACTTTTTTCAAATAGCATGAATCCATATTTTTTCATTCCTGTTTGATAAATGCGTGAGTACAAGTACAACAATATTAATTTTATTAGGAAACTCAAAGATATGAAAATCAATGACAAGAGTCAATTAAGAAGAAGTTTCACCTATAGCCCATTATTCCCGTGGGCTTTCAAAAACTCAAGGAATTGACTGTTTTGAATGGCGTTGGTTTGCATTTGCCAAAGTTGAATCTAGCTAAAAGCAAAATACTCAAAGATTTTGTCTCAGGATTAGTAGAAACAAGAAATATATGTTGAATTTAGTATTGGTGGGGGTAAACATAGAAGACAAATTGAAAAGAGGAGGCCAAAATGAGTAGACCGAATGATTGCGGCCAAAGAGGCGTGGTCGCTTTGCTAGTCGTAGAAAGCTGCTTTTATCACATGGCCAACTCGATCATCCCCCCGTCTCTTGTAGTTATATTATTCTCACATGCCTTCCATTTATTTTTACTCCTCTTCCATTTTTACTATTCCATCCAGACAATCTCATTCAACATTCGTCAACTTGTTAGATCATGTGCCCCTCTTCACCTGCATCTTCGCTTTTAATATTTTCACCCTCCATATTATATTCTCTCCTGTCTCTCCTCTCCAGCAAGTTTTTCTCTGATCTCGATCTCTTTTAATAACGCAAAATGCATTCTCTGCTCAGATTCTCTTCCGCCTTGCTCTCTAGCAAGGACTTCTCAATCTTTTGTTCTTTGCTTGTGATATACTTTATTCAACAGGGTTTAAACCTTTTCAATGAGTGGTTGCTTTCGTGGGAATAATTCATTATAGTTCATCATTGGCCCAAATGTTCGTTCCTTTCACTCTGTCTTCAACTTCTCTGACAGTGGTCCTAACAAAAACAACGCCCCGGTAAAAAGTTGAGAGTTTTACTCATTGTTCACCTTCTTCTCATCATGATCCCCCATTATGAGCTTGTCTTTTCTTTATTAAGTGCACCAAAACAAGTGCTTATGGAGGAAATGGGAGGCACGAGTTGAGTTGAAAGATGTACATATAACCCTCTGCTTGCTGGTCATGCTTTGTGAAGTGGCTGGGACCAGGAACATTCTCTGTGGCCTTGTCTCCTTGACCATGTCCGTTCTGTTCAAACCTTCTAGTTTGTTCAAGTGTACTTTGTTAACGTAATCAAATCCGACTGAATTAGATCTTGAAGCAAAAATACTGTGGTGCAAGCCGAATGATGTGTTTCATCAGTTGCTGGGTCGACTAAACTTTCTTGTGGTCCTTCTGTCAATTGAACTAGTTAGTGCCCATAAGATGGATGTCTGCATAATTATTATTGTATTCAGTATGTTTCGGCACACTTCCAAGAAATTTCCAACCAACATATTGTTTAAGGAAGCTTCAAATATGTTCTAATTCATTTTCTTTAGTTAATTACCAGGGATAGAACATATAATTTATGTACCTCTTCTTGAACCTGAATGTCGTCAGGAGTAACTAATTAACGTCTTCATCACTCAAGTTGCTTTGAAATAAATATATGGGTGAAGAGATTGACTTTTTTAATAGAAAATCACTAGTCATAAGAATCTCTCATTAGCTATAAGATTGATTAAACTAATTGTTGACGCGATCAAAGTTTAGAGGTGGGCGAGTTAAAGACAAGGCATGCTTGTTATAGTAATAAAATGTTGTTTCTTCAATCACATCGTAGAATCTTTTAACACTGGGACCGAAGATAAAATAGTTAAAATCATTGAATTTCTATCTATAATTGATGAAGAGAAAGCGAGAGTGTTTCAATTTAAACTGCATGCTGCTAATGTGCATGTCGCAACCAAACTAACTAACTAACCACACAGTAAATATGTTTGCTAAAGCTCACTACACGCTGTCGTTGGGGTCAACTGCTATAAATCTACCAAAGCGAAACCTATAAAAGTTGGAACATTCTGGGCTAGTTATATATATATATATATATATATATAATAATCCGTTGGAGCAGAACACGATCATATCATAATCATATTTTAATATCATGCATAAACGTGCCATTAAGGATACAGTACCGCTAAACTTAACTAAGCTCAGTCAAAATACTTAGAAGAATTTCAAGCTGTATATATTAATTGTCTCGTGTTACATGAGAATCATGCAAAGCAATGATTGAACTCCACATTTGATTTGAAGTGGCTCTTTTTGGCATCCACATGTATCTTCTCTGCTTGGTGCTATAGGTTGTGGGTCTCAGTGATTGATGATCATAAAGATGAAAGGGGTAGCACTTTGGGAGGTTTTGGTAGGCAATAGAGGGGGAAAGAGAGATATATAGAGAGCAGCAAACGCAACTGCATTGACTTTGTTATTCAAATTTCGTAAGGTAAATGATTAATTGGCCTACAAATACTGTTTGATTAAAGAGTGGTCAACCATATATAGTGCAATATCAGTGGTAGTCAACAATTGAATTGAAGATACTTGCAATGAAACACCATCATGCTTCCCACTCCATGCTGGGGTCCTTCTATGCATCACTAGAAATTACACTTTCTCTCAGGCAACATAAATTATGAATCCTCTCAATGCCTTCTTTTGCTTCATAACGGAAGCTTTTCGACACGAAAGGAGGCGCATGATTGAGAGAAAATAGTGAATAAACGGATGGTATCTCTCTACATTGATAATATACTTGTGTTTAAGAAGTTATTACAATTCTTAAAACATGTTTCAACTTATTCTCAGGTATGCAATATTGGTCGTATGAGAAGCCTTACCATGTTTCAACAAAATCTATTTTGGGCAAAAGATGTCATTGAATTCGTCAACTTAATCACCCAAGAATTGGGCATTTATTATTAAGTTATTCATTAGATGTATAGCATATAATATCAATCATCAAGCACAAAATGTCAAATTGTAAATAAGGTTCATACTGTCTTTTTTTTTTTGTTGGTATGTACTACATATTGAATCCAGAAGATCACATAATAGTACTCTTACTAATCAAACATAATGTTTTGTGGATAACAACCCTTGTACACAAACATTATTTTTTATACAAGAAGAACCCAATGACTAAAATCCAATAATGGGCTTAGACCCTTGTATTTTGGCCCAACAATATTCAATCAATCCTATTATAACCAAACACATAACTCTAATATATACTTCCCCTTTAAGTTAGGGTCATCCAAATTGAAGACACCTAGCTTGACTAACAACCTTGTAAAATCATTATTTCCAAGCGCCTTAGTCAGTATATCAACCTATTGATCTTGTGATCTCACATGTTGAAAGTTGATTAGCTTTTGTTGCAACTTCTTGCATACAAAATGATAGTCAATTTTGATGTGGTTTGTACGCTTGTGGAAGACAGGGTTATTCACTATATAAATAACAGCTTTGTTATCACAAAAAATATTAGCAGGAGCTATTTTTTTTTTACATTCAACTTAGACAATAATTCTAAAATCCAAGTAACTTCTGCTGTCAAAATTACTAGAGCATGATATTCTACTTCGATTGAAGATCAAGAAACCATGATTTGCTTACTTCCAAGAGATGAGTGAATCTCAAAGTTTAACAATGTACCTAGTGACAGAGCATCTAAAATCAGAATAGGTCCCCAATCAGAGGTACAGTAGCACATCAAATTCATATCTTTACTTGAAGGTAGTAAGATTCTTAATCTTGGATTCCCCTTAAGATATCATACTATCTTTATAGCAACATTAATGATAGATCTCTTTGGTTTATACATGTACTAGCTAAGAACCTATATAGGAAAAGCAATGTCAATTCTTATCATAGTGAGGTATAATAATCCCCCTACTAACCTACTATAAGGTTCAGGACTAGTGAGGAAGTAACTAGGCTTTTCTTTCTTATTTTTATTTTTTTTAATTTTCTTCTAGATATCACAACAAAGATGTAAATTTTGCTCTGTTTGAGTAAATATGGGTTTTGCTCCGCTCATGCTAATATCTGCAAGTAAATCTAGCATATATTTTTGTTGATTCATAATAATACCTCTATCACACTTATGCTACCTCTAATCCCAAAAAATATCTTAAAACTCTCAGATCTTTAATTTTTAAGTTATTATACAAATATCCCTTTATTTCATTTATACCAGCCACACTATGCCTTATTATGATTAAGTCATCAACATAAACAAGCACAACAATAAATTGATCTTCTTTATGTCCGATGAAAAGTGAATAATCATACTAGCTTTGCCTAAAACCACCATTTATCAAGGCTTTAATTAACTTGACATTCCATTGCCTAGATGCTTGTTTAAGTTCATATAAGGACTTAACAAAGCCTACACATCTTATTAGATTTACCATGTTTAAGGCCTTGTGGTATACTCATGCAAACCTCTTTATTGAGATCTCCTTGTAGAAATGCATTATGGGCATTCATTTAAAAGATGGCCCATTTACGCATTGCTACTAATTTTAAAGCAATTTTAAGTGTTAACATGTTGA